ACAAACCAAAAGTAATTTATAAGACACATATAATACATGTTTTATTCATGAATAATACATTTATAATACGTATTGCACACTTCACTCCTTTCTTACGGATACCAACAAGAATAATTTAGGTAACACACTAATAATACATTTATAAGACATGCACAATACATTTTTAATACATATTGCAACCATCACTCATTTTCTTAGTGATAAAAGCAAAAATAATTTATAAGAAAAATATAATATAAGTTTTATTCATGAATAATACGAGTTTAATTCAGTTTATAGATAGTTGTCTTGTCTTTCGTTAGTTACGTTTTTCATTCATTCTTAATTCTCTCTTCTAATTCAACTTTAATATTGTGTAATACAATTTTAAAGCAATTTAATTTATTTTGCAATTTTTTGATTTATTTGTTACTATTGGATTACTTGTTTAATTCATTGTTGATACAAGTTTAATTTATTCTATAAATCATTGTCTAGTCTTTCATTAGTTACGTTTTTTATTCATGATTAATTCTCTCTTCCAATACAACTTTAATATTTGTGCAATACACTTTTAAATACAATTTTAATTCATTTTGCAATTTATTGGTTGATTTGTTACGATTGAATTATTTGTTAAATTCATTATTGATACAACTTCATTCATTTTAATGTGTATGTAATACATTTTAATTCAAGTTTAATTCATTTTGCAATTTATTATGTCTCTTCATTTGTTACGATTAGATTATTTATTTAACTAATTAATTATGATACAAATTTTATTAATTCTACAAATCATTGACTACCCTATGAAAGAAAGTAGAGAGAAAAAAAGAAAGGGGAAAAAAGCAACAAAAAGAGAGAGAAAAAACAACAAAAAAGTAACAAAAAGAAAGCAAGAATGAAACAGTAACAAAAAGAAAATAAAGGAGAAAGAACGACATAGAGAAAAAAAAGTCCCTAGCGAACACTAGGTGCTTTCATATACTTTTTGCCTTATGTAATACATAGAAATATGCAAATAACAGGCTAGTAGTATAGGCTCACATAGATTCATTTGAGGAAAATACATGGATCTCCCTCAACCAAGGGTGTGACCTAGTGGTCAATGAAGTGAGTTCAGAACCATGAAGTCTCAAGTTCAAATCTCAGTAGATACAATACACTAGGTGATTTCTTTTCATTTGACGTAGCCTTGGTAGACAAAATTACCTAATACATATTACTAGTGAGAGGAGGCAAAAAAATTATGGAATTAATCAAGATGTGTGCAAGCT